ATAATGAAACCAAAAGGAAGTTCAAAGGAAAAAATCATATTGATTGTTTTCAAGATAAAATCATTACTTGTTTTATGCCATATGCCAAAATAGGGGAAATTGAATTTTCTATTTTTATCTTTCATCTTCTATTTTTGGATTAAATACAATTGGTAACTGTTCTTGTTTTCAAGATCACATCACAAACACCTTTAAAAACTGACAGTAAGCTTGGTGTACATACACTTAAGGATCAAAAAAGGAATAATGACACTTTCCAATTATAAAATATACTAGAGGCCCAGTGCATGAAATTTGTGAATGGGGGGAAGGTGGGGTCCCTCAGGTTGGCCTGTGCTCTCTTGCAATCTGGGACCCCTCGGGGGATGTCTGAATGCTGCTGGTTTAGGCCAGCAGGGATTGGGCCCAAACTGGCAGTCGGATATCCTCTCGTAATCCAGGACCATTTGCCCCTAACCACTCACCTTCCTGCCTGCCTGCCCCTAACTGCTTGCCTGCTTGCCTGTCTGCTCACCCCTAACTGCTCAGCCTGTCTGCCTGCCTGCTTACCTCTAACCTCTCACCTGCCTGCCTGCTCAGTGTGCATGATAGTGACCAGTTGTTCTCGTCATTCTGCCATAATGGTTGCTTAGGCCAGTGTTTTTCAACCTTTTTTGGGCAAAGGCACACTTGTTTCATGAAAAAAATCACGAGGCACACCACCATTAGAAAATGTTAAAAAATTTAACTCTGTGCCTATATTGACTATATATAAAGTAATTCTCTTGAATAGGAATCAAATAAACACAAAGAAAGTATTTTATAATTACTTTATTATGAAATATTAAGTAAACAAAATAGTGAAAAATTATAAAATTCTTGTCTTGTCTGCACCTACGGCACACCGGGCAACATCTCGCTGCACACTAGAGTGCCACGGAACAGCGGTTGAAAAACGCTGGCTTAGGCTTTTCTTTTCTTTTTTTCTTTTTTTGAATATATATTTTATTGACTTTTTTTTTTTTTTTTTTTTACAGAGAGGAATGGAGAGAGATAGAGAGTTAGAAACATCAATGAAAGAGTAATATCAATCAGCTGCCTCATGCACTGGGGATGTGCCTGCAACCAAGGTACATGCCCTTGACCGGAATCGAACCCGGGACCCTTCAGTCCGCAAGCCGATGCTCTATCCACTGAGCCAAACCGGTTAGGGCCGCTTAGGCTTTTCTATATATAGGTTATAGTTTATGCAGAATTTTGTGTACTTGGTTCCTAAAATAACTCTATAAATTAGGACAAGCAGGAGTTATCATCTTGACTTTACAGGCAAACCAAGAATCAAGATTAAGAAGTTAGGAAAGGATGGCATAGGAATTGAACTCTCATCTGTCCTAAGCCTTTGTTCTTTTCATAACTCTACCTGTTTCTCTTGACACTTAGAAGTAAATATGTGTTGTTTAGATGGACCACTAGGGACCTAGGTTTTCTAGAATCTTGTCAATCACAATAGTGGATGTTGGAAAAATGACTCACTCACTCTGAACTTCTTTCCTGTCCTTTAAAAGGAGAACCATCCTGTCTCAACCTAAAAATCAAGCTCTCATGCTGAGGGCCCCACCATACTTCCTCTTAATGGATCCCTGAGATTCCAAATAAGGTAGTGAGGGGCAGAGCTCCGCCCATCGCAAATTCTCTCCTCCGTTTTCACAGTTCATTCCCCATACCCTTCAGATACACAACAAGGTATCCTGCACCCCAGCTCCCCTGGAGACTACAGAGCTTTGGAGTAAATAAAAACGGGCTTCTCATGCAAGATATGAGGACACAGAATGTTGAAAGTGGTGTGAAATTTTTGGAAAGGAAACACTGAGAATGCTGACTGCACCTTATTTTTGTTATCACTTCATTGTGGGAAGAAGCTGAACTAGCTTTTAGGGAACCTGAAAGAGATGAAGCAGCTGGGCATGCTTGGTAAGCCTCAACACATCTGTTTCATCGTTCTACCCACGTACATCTGTACTCCCCCCCCCCCCCCAGGTGATGGACAGACAAGGGGACACAACGTGCACCAGGAAGAGATGACACTGTTTCATTATTATACCTGTGACCCCCTCCTACATCATGACCAAGGGGACCATTCCTTCAAACTCTGTCATGTACTTTGCTATACTGGGAAGAAAATTTGCTTTGAATGACTGTATATGGGAGAAGTAACACTGGGCTAGGGGGCTGGAGAATCAACTACTCTGCGACCTCTCTCCTCGGTAGGTAATAGGAGGTGTGGGATTTAGACAGGATTCCATGGGATATCACCTTTGCAAATGCTCCCTGAGCTATAAGTATACAATTACTTATCATTATTCTTTCACAGAACTATGTTCCTCATTCCAAATACCTAACATGAACCACAGCCAAAGGTTCATGAGTGTTCATGAGTGTTGGAAACCATTATTTTGTCATTTACTAGAAAACAAAATGTCCCCCACTAATATGTAGGAGATAACTATTCAAAATCATAGCACGTAACAATTTGTTGACAGGGCAATTGGAAAATTAAGGACATGAGGAGGAAATTTCCAATTCTAAAGTACTTTACTTCTTTTTCAGCAGCTAGTAATCCCAAAGATGGCCCATCAGTCAAATCTGCATGTATGAGAGTTGGCCGAGGAGCTTCCGACACCTGGAAGTCATGGTGGCTGTTCTGAAGGCACTGTGAGGTCACAGGAATCTGAGTCACAGGTCACTTCAAAGCTCATGCTCTCGCTTACGCACTGAGATGACACAGTCCTACTTGGAATGCTTTAGAAAGCTGCCAAGCCCTTCCTGCTCTCCATCTTTTCTTTGCTGGTGTCTGCTCCTACTTCACTTATTACGTATTTCAAACAGGCACCAGGAAGAGATGACACTGCTTTCATTGCTATACAACAAGAACACTTCCTTGATTAACTGAAAGTGAATTTTTAAAAATCTTTGCTGGCAAAAAGTCCTACAACTCAGCATTTCTGTCAAAAGCCAAGTATGTCTGTGAAAAAATGCTGAAATTGGGATTTTATTTGAGACAAAATGGAAAATCATATTCCACACTCCAATTTGATTTTACCTTTGTTCAGTAGCCACACTGCAATTCGCCTCGGACTAAGGTTCAAAGAAAGCTCTACTTGGAAATCCTCATTTTAAAACTTTTGAAATGAAGAGAGTTTAACAACAAACCTTTCCTATTAAATCAAACTATAACAGCTCAGATGAATGGGAGTAGAATACAGCCTAACAGAAATGTGAGCTCTAGATCACACCACAGTATGAACCTTGTCTCCACAACTTACCGTGTGAACCTGGGTAAGGGACCGAACTTTCCTAAGCCCGTTTCCTCAGTTGTGAAATGGAAGTAAACCCCTGAAGGATTTTGGAGATAAAAAGTGATGCATTGATGTAAGGCAACCAGCACAGTGCCAGACTTATAGGCGACTCTCAATGCCTACTAAGTGGGAATGTGCGGGCTTTGAAAGAAACGAGATATATTTCTATTCCAAATCCATCTCCTGCTTCCTTTCTGGAAGAGTGCTCTCCACCTGAATGCTGCCCTTTTTCAAGTTTTTAAAAAATTATTAAAATTTAAAAAATTCAAAGACTCATGAAACATTTGTCTCATAAAAATAGCAAACACAGGAATACTCCTTGAATTAAGAAAGGCACTCATTTGTTATGTAATGTATAAAAGTTTGCCGGTCTGCACTAGAATGAGCCTGAGAGTGGAGACTGGAATATGGGAATTGCAATGCAGACTCCAGCAGTAACTCTCCACAAGGAACCAGTCCCCTGAACCCCATTTATTTAGTATAAATGAAGAGACTGAAGTGTGACCAAATACCATGATTGCAGGTATATCATGATTAAAGCCCAAATAAAAAGGTAATCACATCTTGGGATCCTGTTCATATATCTGTGTTAAAGGGATAATCATTTTGCTAGTTTCAGTGAAACTTTTAACATTACTTCTGTCTTCTGTCCTCAGGGAAGAATAACCAAGTGCCTATTGGACAATAATATTAAAAATGTTTGCAGACTTAATAAGTTCCAGCAGGTACTCATGCATGGAAGTAAAGCTCAGAGATGACAGGCATAAATTTCCAATGAGTGCAAGATCCTAGATCTAAAAATAAATGAGTAGAATCCACAGATGTTATAACTCAGTAGACAAGCATGTTTTAGAGCAAGACACTATTTTATTGCATACTAGGTTGGGCCAAGGACAATTACTTAATTTCTCAAAACCTCACTTATCTATATCATGGGAGGAAAGTAGCTACTGTATTCCACTATTGAAGTATTATTGAGGTAACACATGTGAAGTAGAATTCATGACATCTGCTGAGCACTCAATAAATGCTAACTACTAAAAAAGTGTGTGAAAAATCTTTACCCATTTACTTTTTACTCTTTCTCTCTGCAAGCAATCCAACCTAAGTAACTCTTTCAAATGAGTCTAATTTTGATATGGTGCATTGGAAATGTATGCTAAGAAAGAAGATGAGGTGGGAAGAGAAGAAGCTAAGAGAAAGGCTAGAAAGAGAAAAAGAGGGATCATCAAGAAAGTGGCACAATAGCGAGGTAGAGCAGGAAAAGATTTGGAAGGCAGCTATGCTCACCACTAATACCACCAACACCTTGAGCAGGAAAAGATTTGAAGACAAGTCAATGGGGTTTATGACAGTGGGACCCTGACTCAGAAGGTCATATTCATGGTGGTGGTCTCTACTGTCCCAAATACAGTGCAGGGGAAAGAAGAGTCAACTTAGAATCAAGAGACTTGGTCCTAAACTAAAGGTCAAACCCTGCTGCTTCATAGTTCTTTATGTAACATATGGCCCATTATTGTCCTCCTCTGTAAAATGAGATGTTGGGACTAAGCTGACCTCTGCCCATTCCAGTTCAACACACTCTCAGATTCCAACTCTGGTCTCTGGTAAGTATCAGACTCACCAGCATCACAGGAAAGACCACCTGTAAAAAATAATGCAGCAACTCCTTACCGATGGCGCAGAGGAAGCTGATGAAAGGGACTTTCTTCTTTCCCTTCAAACTTCTCTCTCACATTTTCTCGAACTTTCTTTGTAACAACTCTCTTGCCATTCACTATCTGGCTACAAGTGGTGACCAGTCTAAAGTTTCCCATTCCACTGCTTACAAAGGGGACAAATTTCTCAGAGGACGGGGAACCTGGTCTGGAGCCCAAGGATACAAAAGTGGAAAATCCTGTGTCCAAAATGGGGGTCACATCAAAAAACGAAGAGTGGAATCTCCTGGCTCTACCCACATGGCCAGTGCGGAAACTATCTCCCGAAAAGAGGTCTTCACCTTCAAAGACATTGTGAAAGCCACCACGTGGCCTCTCAAACCCCAGTTCCTCCTTCGAATCATTTTTGTCTCTGCAGTCTCCTCTATTTTCCCTTCTGATGTGGTTCCTTCTGGACTTGTCATAGTTGTTGCGTTTCTCGGCATCAGACAAAACTTCATAGGCCTCAGATACTTGTTTGAATTCCTCCTCAGCTGCTTTTTTGTTTTCTGGGTTCTTGTCTGGGTGTACCTGAAGAGCTAACTGGTGATAAGCCTTCTTAATATCAGAGGAGGAAGCATTTTGAGGCACCCCTAGTACTTGGTAATAATTCACCATGTTTCTTTAAAGGATCTTTCCTCACCAAGATAGAGTTTATTTTCTGAAGAGCTTCCATATGATTTTGAAAAGGAAGATGGTGAACTACTCAAGTCTATACCAAGAACTTTTGAATCTTATCACAGGGTTCCTGGAACAAAGTCTCTTTTGGGAGGAATTCCTCTTTGCTGTAGGTGTCCTTTGCAGTGCCTCCTCCCCTCCCTGCCCTCTGCAGCTCATTGTGGGTGGAGTAATTGTGATGGAACATTTTTAGCCAATGACTCTTGGCTGATGCTGTGCTTACCTTGTATTCCTATTGGTGGAAAATTTGGGGTGGATAATATACCTGCTAGGGAGATTTCACCTAATTTTAAAAAACATATATTTTTTTTATTAATTTCAGAGAGGAAGGGAGAGATAAAAACATCAATGATGAGAATCATTGATTGGCTGCCTCCTGCATGCCCCCACTGGGAAGAGAAGCTAAGAGAAAGGCTAGAAAGAGAATTAGAGTGATCATAAGAAAGGTGGAAAAATAGTGAGGTAGAGCAATTGAGCCTGCAACTTGAGGAATGTGCCCTTGACCGGAATTGAACCCTTCAGTCCCCAGGCTGACACTCTATCCAAACCAGCTAGGGCAGATTTCACCTAATTTAAAAATCCAACACTGAGAAGCTTGTTAACAGGGAAAGAACATTTGTGTGGCTCTAAAAATAAGTCTTACCTCATTGTAACAGTCTGAAGCAAAATGGGTCTTGCACTTAAATTAGGCACAACATTTATTTTGGATCATTTGAGCTGATGCCTTCAGTGACTTAATGGGTATTTTTCTGTATTATTTAATATTTGCTGTTGGCACAAAGTGAGTGATAATGGGGTTCTATCTCACAAAAAATCTTGTACACATTTTTGATGAAGAAAAAAGTATGAAATTCAGTTCATCAAATGAGGTAACTGGGTTATAGAGAAGTCTGCCTAGATTTTAAAAAAAGAGTAGATTTAAGGAACAGAATTAGAAATGAATGATGCCCATGCACGATCAGATAATGCTTCTTCACTTCAGTTGCTTTTTTTTTTTTTTTTAAGTTAGCCTTTTTGAAATTTCTCTCTCTATTTAACTAAGTAACAATAGCACGACAAGAAATGCTTTAAAAATGGCTTTAAAGTTCAAGTGTAGCTAGGGCTGCTGGTTGCTTTTTTCCTAGGACACACAACTGCTCATTTCCCAGACTTCCTTGCAATTTGGTGTAGTCATATGACCACATTCTGGCCAATGAAAGGATTGATGTGCACCTCTTTCAGGTCTGGCCAATGAAACCACCTACGTGAACTCCTCCTTGCTCTCTATCCTTTTAACAACTAGGTATCCATGCCCAGATAATCTTGAAAATTTCTGGTTGAAGATGAGAGAGCCTCCATCCTGGATCCTTGAATTACTGTGAATCAGACACCCCTACTATGGACTATCTATATGATCAAGAAATAAACTTCTACTTTAATTAAGTCATTATACATGTTTTCATCTACTTGTGCCATCAGTTAGTCTACTCTAATACACCAATCATTTCTACAACTTCATCTTCACTCTTAGAGCCTACCCGTATACTGTCATCAACCAGAAGAGTCCTACCTCTACATCTCCACTTTCTCTAGGGTCAAGAGTCCCCTTAGGATCCTCTTTCCTACTAAGTCTGCACACTCTGGTTGGCCCTCTTAAGCTCTTAGCCCTCTATTGTGTTCAAGCCACAAACACCCCATCTACAGTAGGAGCAATGTAGCTTTTCTGACTTCTATACATGGTGCAGCTGAGGGGGGAAATCAAGCAACCATGAAGATGAAACATTATACTTGTGCAGTGTACCAGTATCATCGGGTGTAGAATACCTTAACAGTTCTCTTATTTACCCTTGGCCAGCTCCCTCTTCCATTTCCCTTGGTGGTCATTCTTAACTTTCATTTGCTCTCCTCTAGTTCCTCATTAAAATTCTACCCATCCTGTCCACTCTAAGCAGAGGAACTTAGCTCTTGTTTAACAAGGGAAACAGAGATTGTTAGGAACTACCTTAATGTCTCTGAGGAGGCGGGCAATTATAGTTGTATCTACTTACATCTTCACCTATGCCCCAGAGCATTGGAAGGTTAGGAAGGATACAGGAAGATATCCTTGTCTTGCTCAGAATTAATCCCTTCATATTCTTTTTGTTAAAAAAACTAAAATAATTGCCAAAACCAATTTGGCTCAGTGGTAGAGTGTCGGTCTGAGGACTGAAAGGTCCCAGGTTCGATTCCGGTCAGGGGCATGTACATTGGTTGTTGGCACATCCCCGGTAGGGGGTGTGCAAGAGGCAGCTGGTTGATGTTTCTTTCTCATCGACGTTTCTAGCTCTCTATCCCTCTCTCCTCCTCTCTGTAAAAAATTAATAAAATATATTTTAAAAAATAAAATAAAATAATTGAACTTATTTGAACCATCATGTATGTTATTGCTGACATTACACTGTATTGTGGTAAAATATATATATAACATGAAATATGCCAGTTTAACTATTTTTACATGTGTAATTCAGCATGAATTACATTTTTCAATGTTGTATAATTATCACCACTATTTTTCAAACTCTATTACATTTCAATGTTATATTTTATCACGTTAAACAGAAAATCCATTAAGTAATAACTGCCTCCTCCTTCTCAGCCCTTGATAACCTCTAATGTATTTTGTGTCTGTATAAATTTGCCTATTTTAGGTATTCATATACTAGTAAATGGAATCCAGACACTACTTGGTTTATTTTACTTAGCATGCTTCTAAGGTTCATCCATGTTGCAGCATGTATCAGAAGTTCTTCCCTTTTTATGACTAAATAATATTCCATTGTCTGTATATACCACATTTGGGTCATTTCATGGACACTTGGGTCGTTTCCACCTTTTGGTGATTGCTAATAATGCTGCAGTGAAGACTGTGTACAAGTATTTCAATTCTTTTGTGTGGAATTTCTGGGTCATGCAGTAATTCTACACTTAACTTTTTGAAGAACTGCCAAACTGTTTTCCACGGCAGTGACACCATTTTGTATTCTAATCAGCAATGCATGAGGGCTTCAATTTCTCCACATCCTTACCCCTCCATATTCTTTTGATCTCATCCCTTTCCTTATCCTTGGGGAGTTTTGCTTCATTTAACTGTCCTCAATTTCATTCGGTTTTAACCTGTCCAATTCTTTTGGTTACTTTCCTGCATGTAAATCAGATTGTCTCCTCTCTCCTGAGGAAAGGACCCTCCAGCTACTGGTTCTTCCTCCACTGTCTACGTCCCACGTCTCATGTCTCACTGTCTCACTCATTCACTCAGCATAGTTCATATTCCTCCCCCCAACCCCACTGTTATGCACAAGCTCCATTGGGCTCTACCTTTTTGAGGTATTTGGCCTTGTTAATCATTGCATTTTCCCTGAAACTTTTCCCTTTATGAGTTCCTACACAACCTCTCATTTCTGGTTCTCTGCCCACTTCTCTGAGTATTCTTTCTCAGTTGCTTTTTCTAGTTGCTTTTCTTCTCCTATCAAAACCGTGGTGTTCTCCTTGGCCTTTTTCTAAGATCCCCTTACAAATGCCTCTCTCATTCTTACTCTCTCCTATGAATGCTGATGACTCTCACATTTCTGTTTCTAGACCTTACTTGTCCCCTGAGCTGTATACTAGATATATCCACTTACAGGCCCTCACATTTGATGCACCCCAAACTGTGGTCATTACAGCCTTATAAGATTTCCTCACAAGCATCCTGGTTAATGGCAGTGCTTTATAACCACCAAACTGGAAATCTGGCAGTCACCCAAGTCTCCACGGCCTCCCCACTGTGAGCACTGAGCTCAATCCTGGAACTATTGCAGGGAACCAGGATGGGACAAATCTTCCATCTTCACTGTTAATGATCCACTAAATTATTCTGACTGCCTTCTTAGACTCCAATCTACCTCTTACTTTCCATCCCCAATGGAACTGTTATAGCATCTTTTTCGCCTTTGTTCTCCATGTCCTCAAAGCCTCTCCACACTACCACTAGACTGATCTTTCAAAAACACAAAGTTCATCATGGCACTCTCCACTTACTCTCCTTTCTTAGTGCCTGACAGGCAAAGTCCTCTTCTTGCAGGCAAACCAGACTGTCTGTTAGCTGGACCCCTAATTACCTTTCAGTCCAATCCCTTGGCATGCCCTGGACCACTCCTCTTATTCCAGGGTATTTGGAGTTCTCAAGATAAACTATGTTATCTCATGTTCCCATGCTTTGGTATTTGATCCTTCCCCTGCCCAAAATCCTCTGTGCTTCCTTCAAATGGTTCTCATACCTATAATGGTTTCAGGTGGCTTTTTATTAAACTAAAAAGAATACTTACAATAATTATTGTACTGTAACTATCTTATATTTATTTCAGTTAATGTTAGAAAAAGCTGTAGCAACCATGGAAACAATGTAAATAAGCCAAAGAAGCACCAGACATCTTTCTATATCATAATGTCTTACAGCTGTTCTCATTTCAAGTGAATGACTTAAACAACCTTTTGGGATTTTTGGTTTATGAAAATCTATTTCAATCAAGAATTCAAAAGATCCTTTCCTTAACAGTTTCACTTTCAATTATCTTGGCCAATTTCTTATTTGCTTTTTAAGTCTTTTCTAAGTTTTTGCAGGCTGAAAGGACATAATGGCAGAATTTGTGTTGACACTTCCTGTGTTCATTATGTTACAAAACATTTTAAGCATTTCAGAAGCCTTTGATTGTGAAGAAATATCAGGTAGCAGAATACCTTGACTATTTTCAGTACTTAGTAATAGTATGCTAATAAAGTAATAACAGTTATTTCCAATTTGTGGGGTTTCAGCTGGTCTGATTCAGAGCTAGATTTACCATGAAGCTGATGAAGCTTAAATTTTCTCAACATTTGTGTGTTCATAATTTTGTACCCCCCCGCCACCTCCCCCCTTCCAGGGTAATCTGCTAGAATTGTGTAAG